AAAAAAAAAAAAAAAAAAAAAAAAAAAAAAAAAAATTTGCAATTGGCGCCACTAACAATACCATTACAGCTGTTGTTTCCGTTACCCTCACACAAGCACTTAGGACTGGAGATAGTTGTAGCATACTGTCACGGCATTGGCCGAAACCGGAGCAGTAAGGTGGGGGCCAAAACGCCCGCGCCAGTTGCACGACAAAACCCCAGGAGCAAGACATTCATTATTCGGTAGATCTATGCGTCAATGAATGATTTCTTCGGCCCAGTATCTATGCAAAGCAACACACAAGCAGTCCCATCTACTAATTACTTTTAGCTTGTTTTCAAGCTAGGTTATAAGAAGTCGACGCATTTTCGTAGTGGTGAAGGACAAAGCAGGCCTCCCAACCGCCCGCCCGCCCCCGCCCGGGCCCTTCGGGCGGGCGGGCTGGCAGAGCGGGCACGGGCGGGCAGGCGAGTAGGCGATTACTAAGACCTCTCGCTTAGCCTATTTAGGTAGCTACCTAAAAAAAATAAAAAATAAAGTAAAATAAATGCAATACTTTTTACTTTTACTAGGAATCGAACTTAGACCTTTATAAAGTAAGGAATATTCTTAGTTTTTATGAATATATACCTAAAATATGCGCACAGACCACTTTTGCTCGCCTGCCCGCCCGCCGCCCGCGGGCGGGCGACTGGGAGGCCTGGGACAAAGCAAGCATGAGAAACCCATAATCGGACAGTGAATTGTTAGCCAGTAAAAAAGTGCAGCTTGCATTCACGGAGGTTGCTTGCTGAATGTTGCCTGCTGAGGACTCAGATGCTGGAGCCTAAAACACCCCTGACCCACCTTTCGGGGCCCACTTTTCTGCAGGGCGTTAAGCGCGCACGTTTTACTCCCTAATCCTGGCCCACTGTGCCACTCTATACACAAATCTCCAAGCACGCGCGATCTTGGTCCCCGTTTGTGCCCCGATATTATAGACCTACCACGTAGTTTTGTCTTCATTTCATCACAATCATAGAGAGGAGACGAGTTTGCAATTGATTGAGACGTTCACATAGAATTCGGTATCTGAAAAATCGCTCTACTGTGCCGCAAATGCAAGACAAGGAAAATGACAATGTGCTCTAAAAATATCTTCCTTCAACGCAGTGCGCCTCGCTCAAATGTGTCTGATTGCGTCATCAAGAATTGTCGCGAACGTGACACCGGACAGCTTTTCAATGTCCACCGAGTCCAGGGCAGTGTCATCGTACTCTTGAAGACTGTTCGTGGGCTCCAGCTCAGGTTTAAACCAGATAGGGTCGTCCCTTGTTCTCGATCCGAATAGTTTCTCGATGGAGCTTTTGAAATCCGTGGTGGCGTGTATCTCGAAAAAGCACTGGAAAGGCTTCTCGTCGCGCCTTCTGAGCAAAATTGCAGCCCGCATTTTTGACGGAACACCGTCTTTGGTCGTACTGTTTTCCATCAAGGTCCACGAAGCCGTGTCCGACTGGCCATAGGTATTGCCCCTCGTGTCAATCGACCCCACAACTTTTGTAGCGTTTTTGGCCTCCCGGCTCGTACTCCTCTCCCAACCGAAGTCTACAGAAGCCTTGGCGCCGGCAAAGGGGGGAGCTCCGATGTTTAGACCGGTACTCCGCTTCTCGGCCACCTGATGCGTAGTTTCCACCAGGTTGAAGCTGCCATCCGGAGCAATTTTTGTAACTTCAGGGTCGTTTCCGCCGTCCTCCATAGCCGCGAATTGTAGCGAGATATTCGCTGCTTTTATTCTTCGGCCTGTGCGGCGGCTGTCAAAGGTAAACTTGAGGATAATGAGGCTGGCGAAGTAGCGTTCGTTGTCCGGGTCCGGCAATCCATGGATAACGTCTTCGAGCGAGCAGCGAACGTCGACCGCGCCCTTGCGCTCAGTGACATTTTTCCGCTGGTACGGTGCTGCAGGGTCGTTCAGGAGGCGATATGAGCTTCCCTCATCTCCGGTGGGGTTCAATCCAATGTAGAATTCCTCGTCCATGATTATCTCGGTGTTGAGCTTCCGCGCGTCTATGCAGGTTCTTAATTGGTGTTGGGGGACTGAAGAAAAAGAAAAGCACCTGATACATATTTATGGCGCGGCAAAGCTCTACTCATAAGGCAGGTGCTATGTGTTAAGATCACTTGTGCCATGTACGATTTTAGACATGCATGTGGGGCTTCCGGGGTGGTTTGCGCTCGGATGTTTTACGCGTTACCGCGGCCCAATAGGATTTCAGCTGGTGGCACAGTTGATCGGAGTCATTCCCCATGGCGCAAAGACAACCGCCCCAGTTAATCAAGCGGCGGCTAACATCCACCCAATGGACTGGGTGCTCATTGCCATTGGACACACGCTGTGAGTGTGGAGTAAAAATGTCGTTGCCGCGAAACGCGAAGATTCATCTATATACGGAGGCAAAATTTACGACTCAGGAGCGCAAGCACAGACACCAGGCTCTACTCTGACGCGTCTACACTAGCCTTTTAGCTCTCCACTCTGGCGGCTAGAGCAAGTCCACGTATTTTTAGATCTTCAGTTTGGCGGCTAGCAGCAAGTTTTTGTACATTTAGACCTGCACCTTGGTAGCTGGCAGTAATTTCGAGAACTTCTTCAAATCAAATTCATTCGCGTCTTTCTAGTTATCATTGATACCCGAGTTTCTCCATCACCATGGGAGACATTGCTTTTAAATACTTGCCTGAAAGTCCTTTCCAAACTGGGAGCGAGCATTATCCTCAACACCTACCTCAGCATGCTTCCCAACAACAGAATAAGCATAAGGTGCTTATCAATTGTACTCCAGCAAGCTCGGAGAGCGAGGGAGACGATGATGACTGGGAGCATGAAAGAACAATTCGAGACAAGTTCAAGGCCATTATCAGCAAAATAACATCAGCAGAAAACGAAGATGCGGACAGAGTCGCCAAAGAGATAAGGGACCAATTCTACCAATACTTGGGCAGAAAGGCCGATGGCAGGACCATTCTGCACAGATTGGCTAAAGATGCGAGACGGGACCGAATGGAAATATGGGTTGCAGTCATAAAGATGGTCATCCAAGAACTCCCAGACCTCCTGAAGTCGCAAGATGAAATACGAAAAACACCATTGCATATGGCTTTGCACAATGGCAGATCGAGGCTGGTCCTTGGCATGTGCGAGGCTATCCCGGACAACTATTTCGACGATATTCTCCTCAAGAAAGACGACACAGGGAACAACTGTTTACATGCAGCTCTCCGCGGCAATAATGTCCATCCAGCGATAGTCCTTGAACTCCTTCGCAGGATAGACAACCCCGACAGGGTACTTTGTGAATTGAATGAAGAAGGGCTTTCACCCTTACATATTGCAGTCGAATACCGCCGTTGTTCCCCCTCCCAACTTGGCATCGTTCAAACAATTATTGCCCGCTGCGACAAAACACTGGACATCAACGTCTCCTCCGATGATCCCAACAAGCTTTCTGTCTACCGATACCACGACAAGACACGTAAGGAAAGTGAAGAGGATCTCAACGCACAGGAGAAAAATGGGTGGAACCCCGTTCAAGCTACTCCAAGGTCCCTCGACGAGTTGGTACATGACTCTGGCAGCTTTCACCAAAGAAAAGTCTCCAGGTCCGACACCATCACCTTGCCCGGCCCCATTGCCAGGTCCGACATAATGGTCTGGTCTGGCCCAGTCTCCAGTTCCGACACACTTTCCCGGTCCGACACTGGCTCTCCTGACAGAAGTTCGACATTTTCCGTAGCCTCATCCAACGGCTCGGGAAAGAGACGGTCAGGAGAACATCAACGAAACGAAGTTACCGAGGCTTCCGCCAACGCCATTCGAGATCACCTCAAAGTGTGTTTCATTTGTGGCCGGACAGACCCCGAGAAGATACTCTCGTTTTTGTACAAACCCACTGAAGGCAAGTCGAATACAAGCGACAAGAGAGGAAAACAGTGATTTCTTTACTAACAGAACTTACAGTGAAAGAAATCTACTTCAGCCTTCCGGGAGGCCCCAACTCCATGGTGACAGAGGATATGCTCGAAATGATGAGCTACCTGGAGTTCGAAGACACACTCCGATATGTCCACATTCCCTTGCTACGTGTCGAGAAGACTGGACCAGCCGCGTCCCGCAGGTTCGGAAACCGCAAAACGACGGCAAGCTGCAAGGGCCGAGATGATTACGTGAAGATCTTCGACTGGCTCAAGAGTAAGGGGGTGAAGCGGATCGCCGAACTTCGGGTGGACGACCTCCAGGAGGAGCCGCTGGGAGAAGAGCAGGAGGAAAGCATTCCGTCTCACAGTGATGAAAAGATTGAAAAAGCACTTGAAGGAATCGAGGTGCTCCATACTTTTGACTGGAAGAAGGTTGATCTGAGCTCCGAGACTATCTGGAACGTGGCGAAACAGGCCGTCTCCGTGGTTTTGTACTGGGGAGGGAATGATGCCATCCTCCGCGGCTGGAGTGAATCTGATGGTTTCCCGAAATTCGAAAACCTAAAGAAAATCACGGTTTACGGTGAGAACGTAAGTAAAACCCCAATTATTCATTTCGTTTTTTGCTAAGAAAATATAGGGTCTCGAGACAACCAACCGAGCAAACCAGAACCTGCAAAAGTTCCAAGACAGATTGTGTCCAAAGCAAACGAGCTCCGAGAAGGACATCACCGAGTACGAGAATAACCTACGCGAGGACCAACAAAGAGAGAACGAGACCCTCGACAACCTCGAAGTGAAGTGCATTCTCGACGAGAAGTCGTGGAAGAGCACAGCCAGTGAACGCCTACGAATGGCGGCTCAGGAGCAGCCGAAGGAGCAGCACGACTGGCTGACCACGATGGACAAATTTGCCACCTTCATACAGAGCTTCAAGCTCGATCCGGCGCTACAGCCGGCAGCCCGTCCAATCAGAGTCGCGGTGATTGATGATGGCATTGATGTTGCCGAGAAGTCACTGCAGGGCAAGGTGTACGGGGGTCGAAGCTTTTGCCAGCAACTCGGAGGTGGGCTTGCACCTCACTACAACTCGGATGGCGGACATGGCACTGTCATGGCAAGCTTGATTTGCAGAGTTTGCCCGACGGCCAAGTTGTATGTCGTCCGGCTCGACGAGTACTGGGGACCTGGTGGAAAGCGGTCTATCACGGCAGAGAGTGCGGCAAAGGCAGTTCGCGCTGCAGTAGACCAAGAAGTGGATGTCATTTCGATGTCTTGGACCATTGAGAAGACAGACACAAACAAGTCCGGCCTTGACAAGCTGAGCGCCGCTATCAAAGAAGCGGTCAAGAAGAACATTATCCTTTTCTGCTCAGCTAACGACCAGATCTCGGACGACTACAGTTATCCTGGAATGTGCACACCGCACCTCTTCAAGATCGGCGCCGCCACTGAGTACCGGAAGAAGACCGACAGTATGGGCAATATCGATGTCAATTTCATTATGCCTGGGCAAAACGTGCTGCGAGGACGTCCTGGCCAAGTGCCGATGGAAAAATGCAATTTGTTGAGCGGCTCGAGCGTTGCGACTGCTTTGGCATCGGGACTAGCTGCTCTTATTCTGTACAGTGTCCAGCTTGCAGCGCAACACACGGCACTGGTAAACTCTTCCAGACCCGAAAACTGGGTAACACTGGATGACTTCAACAATCTGAAATCACACGAGAACATGCTCGCCGCCTTCAACCAGATACCCAAAGATTCATCGAGCGAGGGCAAATTTCTTTTGGTAAATCGGATGTTTAGGGTCGAGGAGACAGCTCTTCGGCGGCCTGAAGAGGAGAAGCTCATGTTTATCCAAGAGCTTGCGAGAAGGCTGACATTCCCTTCAACTCTTAGTCTTGTTTAGAAGAACGAGCTTGTAATGGAGTCACATTGCTTTTTTCCTTGGGTATTGGACGGACCTGGCGCTACTTGGGTTCCTTTCTTTCTTGTCGACGCTTAGCATATTCCGTATGTTTGAATTTATCCATGATCTCACGCCAAAATAGCAATGCCGCTGTTATAAAGTCTCTAGGGAATGTAGTCTTCTTTTTTGTCTTACCCAATAAAGTGCTTAATATAATCGCCTTAAATCATGACACACAATGTGTTTATTTTAGTACCAAGTAGACTTTCCATGAACTCAACCCATATTCCTGCAAGCTGTTGTCTTTTAGTAACTGTGGTGGTACTTTGAGGCCTCTATATTTAATAAATAAGTCCTTTTCTTAGCCATGAGAAAATATTACGAAGTCTCCCGGAGATTCAGCAGTGGGGACGTTTATTGCTCACCGTACCGCCCGCATGATTGCGTCCTTAGCGTCCCCCGTATTGTGCGCAGCCTAGTGATACTTGTGCCTGCTTTTTTGTAGTGCACAATGGCCTAAAATTTCGGCTGGACCTGCTCGGGGTGCAAAATCTTGAGAAAATCAAATTGTATGTCTGGGCCTTAATTTTGATCCGGGAGTTTGTGTTTACTGCAACTTAATGGACCGAAGCTCAGCATTGCCAGCCTACGGATATACGAGGGATTAGCACGTAATCGTGAGAGAAATACTTCTAAAGGTTATTATCGGAAATCCAGCTGCTTATAGTGTAGTCAGTTGCCTTGAGTCGAGTACAGTTGAGGAGATATCTGGTATGGCCCCGGATAATTTGCCCAACTTTTCTAGATATTCTAGCCATCTCTTAACTACATATTGAGTAAAAGCTACGACACCTCTAGAATAATCCTTAGGTAGTTATAACTAGACTATAATAATATAGCTAGTAGGCACTTTATAACTATATAAAAGTAAAAATATACGAGTTCTAATGTATTCTTTAAGGGTATAGAAGTATAGATATACTACTATAGTATCTATAAGGGCATAGCAATAAAATATCTAAAGGGTATAAAGGTACTTATAAGGTTATAGAGACCTAAAATTTTAAAGAGTAGAAAAATGTATTACATAATTCTATAGATACTATTACGTGGGACCTTCCTTTTCGTGCAACGATCAAGCTGAGTAATTGTAGCGTTGCGCCACTTCTGCAAGATGTCTGCTGCCTGATGCCTGCTCGCGTAGCACAAAGCGGGGTATTATATACTTCTTCCACCAGCCTCGCTCGTGATCCATCGCATCAGCCATCAAATTTTCTGATCGCATCACACTATCTTCCTCCGTTTCTAAGCAAACCTACAAATCCGCATCACATCTGTGGGTCGGCAGCGTTTTGCCTTTGTCGACTTCATTGAAGCAATAGCGATAGATGGATTGCATGATTTCGCCATCGAACATATAGTCATGTCTCCAGAGCTCTATGCACTCTCTCAGCAAGAGCCACGGGAAGACGACCGTTTACAAGGGTTCCTTGCGAATGGATGGTGTCCCCATCAAGCGGACCGGATACTAAACTCTCATGACAATGAAACAATTCGGTATCTAAGTAGCATAAGTCGTTCCGGTTTCCGAGACACGAATCACGACTTCTGCGCACAAGCATCGAAATGTGTGGCGAACAACGTCGACATGAAAAACTATACCACCCGGCACACCAGGCCTACCTGCGACTGCTATATGGCTTATGTCGATTATGATCGTATCATTCAGATTATCAAGAATGGTGGCGTGCCTATTCTTTCAGTCGCTGAAACTGAAAATGGAGACATATCCCTCCATGTCGAGCCCCGCAGTCAGGCCTCCCAACCGCCCGCCCGCCCCAGCCGGGGCCCTTCGGGCGGGCGGGGAGGCGGATAGGCGATTACTAAGACCTCTCGCTTAGCCTATTTAGGTAATTACCTAAAAAAATAAAAAAAAGTAAGGTATAGTAAAATGCAATACTTTTTACTATTTCTAGGAATCGAACTAAGACTCTTTTAAATTTAGTATTGTTCTCGGTTTTTATAAATATATATCTAAAAAAATGCGCACAGACCACTTTTGCTCGCCCTGCCCGCCCGCCCGCAGGCAACGGGCGGGCGGGCGACTGGGAGGCCTGCCCGCAGTACCAGAACCCGATACATCGCGATATCGCATGTCCGGGCTGATGGACTGGGGATCCGAAAGCAAATGCTCTGCCCCAGTGTCAACTGAGGTACATTTCGAAATGTGTCGGAAATGCGCCTCAAGCAACCAACGAAAGAAATATGTTACATTTGGGACCACTTTTGGTCGATTTTCGCCGTCGAAATATCTCTATTGGCAAAATATCTTATTTTTGGATCGACACACTCTGTATTCCTGTTAAAAGGAAGCACGAAAACCTCAGGCTCAATGCCATCAACCAGATGGCTTCGATATATGCCGCTGCTTTCAAGTTCTCGTCCTTGACAAGGAGCTTCAGAGCATTAGGTTAGAGGTTGGTGAAGAAGTCGAACCATTGGCTCGAATATGCTACAGTGCCTGGATGAGTCGAAGCTGGACATATCAAGAAGGAGTATTAGCTCGTTCCTGTGTGTATCAGTTCTCAAATTCAGCTGTCGACCCTGCAAATAGCTGGAGCACCCCCAGTAGACACCGATTTCAACCAGTGGAATCCGTTCATCGGGCTCTCTATAACCCTTATTGGGAGAATCTGCATCAAGACTGGAAAAATTGCAAGTATAACAGATTACACTTTTGGATAGATTGTCGCATGAAGAGATGGACCAATCAATCAATAATAGCGAATGTGGTCAAAATAACAGGCCAACGCGGAAGACTAGAGCAGTTTGTCCGCAGTTGGAATGAGCTTGCAGGCAGGTCGACAACCATGATTGACGATATCCACGTCGTGGTGGCAAATCTATTGGACTTCCACGCAGGTACTATCATAAGTCACAAAGATCAGCAAAGCCGTATGAAAGCTATGATCCTAAGCTTTGACCTGCTGCCATTTTCCCTTTTCTATAACACTGGCCCGAGGCTTGGTCAGCACATTCAGCACAAAAATAGGTGGATTCCACTAGGGCCAAGCAAAAGTCAACTTACGATGTCGCCTACAGTAAAGCTCTTACATGGAGTTGGCGAACTCCTACTCGAAGACGACTCAAAATCGCTACAGATATTTCTGATAACTGGCTTAGTCGGTATAGAGCGGTTCAAGTTTTACTCTCCGATGACAGGAGATATGTTCCTTGTACAGCCACAGCTTCCGGATAGCGAGGGGTACCAGTTCTCTTCCGAGGGTATCAAACTTATTGTATTGGAAGGCCCTTGGCAAAATCCAACCAGCTCAAAGATCCGTGGCGCTTGCTTCCAGGTTGTCCAAAGCGAGGGACTGGAGAGGAATGAACCAGATGAAAGAGGCAATTCCCCTAAACTACGGCTTATATTCGAATTTCCATTAGAAATCACACCTACTGGAGAAGAGGGGGAATATTCAAGAGCAAACGCCCTACAACCTAAGTTGTACACGGCCTCTGTTGTTTCTCCTGCATGTCAACTTCTTATTCAATACGGTAAGCATCTCTTGCCGCAAATTAGCTATTAAGGGCTAACAGAATTAGACCCCGTCTCATATCTTCGGCGCCTACCACGTCGCCCTATGGCCCTTGATATTTTCCGGGGATCCTACATCCGAAATCGTGTATTAGGTGTAGTTATTACCTGTTCCATACAGTTCGCTTTCTTTTTCGACAGCGGTTGGATTATTGCTTTAGTTACTGTCCTTAGCCTTATCCTCAGTATTTCCATTATAGTTGTCTTTTGGTGGTATTTGGTAATGATACCTTTGGCGTACCAGCAGTGGCTGAACTCTTACGACCAAGCATGGAAAGATAGTGGGCTATGGTGGAGATATATTCAACTCGAAATGTATTTACGGAGTAAAGAGGAAGCTGTTCGGTCTTGGGTTTGGAAGAGGATTAGGAGAGGAGAATAAGTATGAACAACAAAAGAAATTGCACAGTTGTGTTGGGAGCATTTTGAAAAAGTATTTTTAGTAGAATTCCTCACTTTAACAGAAGGCAGCCATGGCATTAGCAAATATTATGCGATCTAGCAGCATTCAGAACTAATAACGGACAAAAACGAATAACAAACAGCCGGTGCAGGTAAAGATTGTGTCATTCATAAATTCATCTCTCGTAAATACATCTTCTACCGTCACGGCCTTAATAGACCAGTGACAGCATCTCGAATCCATCATCATAAAACCAAGCTCTTTTATCATGAGTTTTTGACTTTTTAGCCTTCCAAGGCATGAAATTCCTTGCCGAAACCCCGTAAAATCTCCACACCTTGATCCATTCCTCTCTTACCATCAGAATTTTGCGCAGCCCCCGATCACAACCGCAGGTTTAAGCGGCAGTAAGAGCAGTCGTAGGCAGCAGCACCGTCGGCTCCTTAACCTGCGTCAGCAGCGTCGTAGGCGGTTCCGTCGGCACCGCCTCCACAGCCACCGCCTCCGCACGACCAGTCAAGCTACCAGCCGTGGTAAGAGGGAGAGGCGGCTTAATCTCGACCTGGAACGTCGCCGTCACAATCGCGTCTCCAGTCGTCTCCGTCTCCGTCTCCTCGCGCTTGCAATTCGTAAGGCAGAGCGCGGTCGTGAGAGGAATGACCGGCTTGATCTCGATCAGGAACGTCGAAATGTGCACTTCCTCCGCGACTCCTGAGGCTTCGGCGCGCCCGGTCAGGCTGGGTGCCGTCGTGAGGGGAATGGGAGGCTTTTGTTGAGTGGGGAGCTCAGTGGCGGGCTCCGCACCATCTTCTGGCTCTTGCCTGCCGGTGAGGCTGGGTGCCGTGGTCAGAGGAATCGGAGGCTTGATTTCGACAGCCAGGGTCGATACAGTTGCGGCTGCGGTGGGAGGTTTTTCCTGGGTTGGGAGCTCGGTGACGGGCTCGGCTTCCGCTTCGGGCTCCTGCCTGCCGGTCAGGCTGGGCGCCGTGGTGAGAGGAATGGGAGGCTTGATCTCCAGTGTCAGAGTGGCGACGGGGTTTGCGGCCTCAAGAGTAGGTTCGGGCTGCATTTCCGTGACAGGCTTTGCTTCGAGCGGAAGGGAGGAAGTGCTTTGTTCGGCCGCAATAGAGCTGGTCGCGAAAAACGCCAGGCTGAAGATGTTGATGAGCTGCATGGCGGTCTGGAGCTGAATGCTGAGGCTTCGCAATTGAGGATTGAATGAGCTGCTGGCTCCGGATGCTGGATCTTTAGCAGTGTTTACCTGCTTCTTAAATATTAAATATATTCACCTTCCGTTCCTGGCACCATTCTTCGCCCCCACAAGCCAAGCCCGCGTGTGCAAGGGTTCAAGCGGGATCGCGGTGCTTCTGCGGTCGGACAAGGAGGGTGTGGACGGGCCTGAATCTTCATGCGGAGGCGGGAATCCATGTCATGAAACACGTTTCTGGTAATGCGGAGTGCATATCATTCATGTAGGATTGAGCCGCGATGCCTGTTCTAGTATTGCGATATAGGCTACTGTGACTGAAAGTGCGGCACAATCAATTTAGGCAGGTGGTTTCTTCGGTATGTTTGCCGACGCGGAATTTTGTCTTTAATGGCGCTAGGTCTCACCATGTTGTTATGCGGAAAGCGCGTGAGGTTGGTTTCTGGTCTGCTGTTTTATGGCCAAGGATCCCACTCCTACGACTACGGATACTGCAGCCACGAGAAAAGAGGGAAGACGGGATAGAAAGTACTAGGCCTCCCCGTTATTCGCGCATGAGATGATGAGACTGGTGATGGAGAGTGGAGGAGATGAGTTTTTCTTCGATCCGCTTGACGGCCTGGACCGCTCGCGAGACGTTGAAGCGTGTAGACATCGAATCACTGCGGCGGCCTTATAAGAAACAGAATATTTTAAAGTGGGAGACGCCAGTGGTAGCGGCTTGGCCAAGTTGGCAAACCAAGATCGAGACTGTTGAGGACCTGTGGCGTGTTGTTGCGGAGCTCTCGGAGGTTAAGCGTTTCTGGCAATAAACGCCCGTCGTAGGATTCTACCCCGCTACGGTCCGCCTCGGCCCGCCGTAGAGCAACGGAGCGCCCAGAGCGTCTGACCAATGAACAACCTTAAAAAAACATCCGTCGTTGGTCGCAAGATGGCGCAGCATCCGGATAAGCGCTAACTGTGCCGCGGGATATGCCATTGGTGTGGGTAAGCACGGATTCCCGCTCCGCATTGATCCAGAGCTTGTAGTGACGTCGACGGGTTGGCTGTAGATGCTTCAAGGTATTTGACCAAATTACTAGAAGAGAGTTTGGTGAGAAAGAGTGTTGTTAGAGCTCGTGTGCAGTTAACAGGCTTTCGTAGATATGTTCTGGTCCGAAACGCCAACCGGATGGGGAAGCAAGCATGGTTGCCGGGTCGGCTCACTGTGCCGCCAACACCGAATCCACCGGCATCATCCCGCTCGTATTATCCACCACTTAATGCGCTACGTTTTAAATAATGAAAAGGGTTGGGACATGTGGGGTACAGAAAGCCTGAAAAGCATCTCCGAACGAATTGTGTCTACGATGCAGGTGGATGATAAGCTTCTCTGGATCATGGCTTTCAGTTACGCAATGCTTTGAGTGAAAATCTTAGCCGTATGCACACCCTGGATTAATCTATGATGGAGTGAAGCAGTTCGCGGTCTCGTTACTTCTTACTCTTATGTGAAACACTTAAGGTTCAAGGCAATTACAACTCACTCACCCACGCCTATGTGGGTTTTGGTTCTCATGAGTGAGTTATAAGAAACTCCCGAATTCAAATCCCAATAGGAGAACTTAATATTTGACTCACTAATTGCGACTGAGATGCAATTAAATATTAGCTGTGACGCTGATCGGTGGTAGGAGGAAGCATCTGCTTTGGCCCTGAGCTATATAGAAGGAAGGTAACACTAACTTACAGTCCAGACGTTCAACCTTCTTCGCAGCCTAACTTCCTCATATGGCTAGCGCTGTCCAATAACATTGAACGTCGAGAAGATCTAGGCGACCAGTCGTCCAGTAACAAACAAACAATCGCCGACTAACCCATAAACTATCGTCGAGCAACTCACGAACAATTGTTCGACCAACTCACGAGCAATTCTTCCACCACCTCTCGAACAATTGTCCATTATTTCGAAAAATTCGTCAACGACTACCTAACAATTGTTCTTGGTAATCAAATCGCTGAACAGGTTGAATAGCCGTATCTAATGGCCTTTCGTAGAACTCTAAATGGTTTGCTAGGTAAATGATTGCTGTTTACCTCGTTGTATAGTGTTTGACGTTTTAACTCAAACCCTACGAACGGAGCCTAGGGCCGATAAATTTTAAATTTACTAAAGGAGGGTCTGCAACTCATCTACAGAGATCTAGCAATGGTAAGGAATATACTCTACCTAAAGCTTCGGAGTTTCAGCCTTATACTGGGCCTGTAAACCTTAAAGGGCTGGAAGTACTTATTAACTTACTAAAGCACGCTCTCGTGTAGCACCGTAAGCATACTTTACCGTTATTAGTTTTCTGATGCAATTCTCATCAGCACCACAATAACCAGTGCCGATTATCCGATCATAAATGCATGCACTGACATAGACTAACGGACTTGCTTTATTGATGTCTCGCGAGTCGCGGCTCACCTACACTTGAACGCGACTTAACGAAAGTGTTGATTTATAATTTTTCTTTTTTGTAAAGAGGAAAAACGTATGTCCTTTCAATCCCTCCGCTAGGCATAATTCGGCCACTTGTGGACTTAGGGGGAAAAAAGAGCAAGTTTTGCTGCACACTTGCTCTAATATCACTACCTACTTGCTGCCGCACCGTGTGTGTGGAAATGACTGTAGTGAACCTCAACGAACAAATGAGAAAAGCAACAGAGCACAGTTTGCTCAAGGAAAAGCCCATTTCACCCTCCCCCTGGGGCTCGCATCTCCAACCACGGGCTCAGTCGTATTTGAACGCAGCCGTGTTTCCCGTAAGATCAGACAATCTCAAGATAGTTCCTCCTCCTGGTCCTCCACCTATACGACATCAGCACAAACTCCATGGTGACTACACACAAATAGACATACCAGTGAAGGTGACATCGACCTTCTCATTGAATTTGACAAAGGCAGTAGCCCTGTAAGTCCTGGTAGGCGTCGTAGAATCCTTGTACGAGACATCGACAGTTTGGAAATCGGCAGTGATGTCGGTCAGCGTGCTGTCGTTATCGACCTTGTGGTTTGCAAACTCGAGGTCTTTGACTTTCGGGTCGGCGGAGCCTTTGACCTCGGCTTTGGAGACGTGAACGGAGGACATTTTTGGGGCTGTTGGATGAGATGGAGGTCGTCTTTGGGGATAGTGAAGTTATTGTACGAGAAGGTCCTTGCTTGGTTTACTGCGAATGTTAGGCCGAGCCCACTGGGGGTTTTATATCTCCTCTGGCTGGCTGCTACGTCACTGTCCGCATGCCTAGCGCTCGATCGGCTGCAGCATCGTTTCGATCACACGGTGCGGGATGGTAGAGGGTTTCGCAGCGCTAAGACGATCAACATAGTGGTGGTTTGGATCCAAGTGCATCTTACGTTGGATGGGCGTGATGTGGCGCACTCTTGAGCACCTGCCAGGCCCTCAGCTCCTGTTGTCTCTACTGCCAGGCAGTATCAACACGACAGCATCCTGTTTCTCCTCTACCACATACGCGGCACGAATATCTGGCTGCTCAGCTGCCTTTGCATGTATGCACGTAAGAAGCTGAAGCTTGCTGCTCGGGCTTTTTTACTATCCGACCGCATATACATCTCTGCTTGCAAGTCATATTTAAGCTTGCAGAGCGCATATCGCAGCAGTAATCTCACTATCGCAGCAGTCATCTCACTGCCGCAGCGCAGCTCTTGAGGTTTACCATTTTCCTATTCTAGCATTCCACTGTACCGGATCCCCTCATCACCATTGATCCACGAGCCTAGTCCGCTCCCGCTCCATGCCACCTCAAAAAGTCTATATTCCACGCTAGAAAATCTGGCAGTGCTGTGCATTATCTTGTTGGCAGGGTAATAAGGGTTATTGAACTGATTGCCATAAGGGCTCGTGTGCTCGAGAACTAAGACAGGTTGTAGTGGCACGAAAGTGGCTATACTCGGGACGATCTCCCTCCCTCGCAGTACCAGCTGCGCCCGTACCCGCGGCGGGCTCTAGCGCTAAGCTGCAGGCTTTTTTGCAGACTTATGGAGGGGTGGCGGCGTTCTAGTGATCTGCTGATCACGCGCGAGATAATGTTTCATAGACTCTGGGAGGGCTCTGTTGAGAAAGCATCCTACCATAGCCGCTTCTTTAAGGCATGGTTCCATCTATGTAACTGAAATCAGTCTTTGTTATATCTAATATCGAGTTTTCAAATGCATTTTGCAAACGCTGTCTAACCGCTGTTTCCTAAGATTACTGAAAAAGTACGCATTGTTCGTGCCCTTAAGGCAGGTTTTCTAGTCACCTACTTTTAAGTCTTTCTGTTAGACCTGTACGATCCCCGTTGTTTTCTTGCATGAGATGGTGAATCCAATTTGGTTTCGAAAGAATGACTAGTTGCTAGACAAATTATCCTAAAAGATCGTGCACCATATCATAACCATAATACCCTGCTGAAAAGAATGGCGGTGACGTGCAAAATATCTAATGAGCGTGATAGGGCTGTCAGGCATTAACCCCAACATCCTCCCGTTCCTCAGTTGCCTTTCAAACAAAGTTAGAAAATTTCTAGCCTCAATGAAGATTCAAACCTACTAATTCGTGCACATGCCAGTATTTGTTGAAGGGTTCAAAACACAGTGCCTGGAGCAGCACATTGTGTAGCCATTTGAATCGGCCACAGAGCATCCTGTATTCAGATTAATAACGAGTTTTCAAAAGTGTAAGGTAGTATATGTATACCTCCCCCGTTCGGAGTGCACGTAGCGCAGCCACTGGGGCAGCTCTGGAGTTCGCCGACGCCAAAGTGTCTGCCGCTGTAAACGGGCGTCATTTCAACCAGAATGCCTCTTTTCTCCTGGGCCTCGGAGGCGGGCATGGCAAGCGCAGCAGCGGCAAAGAGGATCGTGTAAAAGGCCTTCATTGTGTGATTGGAAAGATGGAAGTAAGTAATGTGAGTTTTTGCAATTCGTGGAGAGTGTCGACTGTGTGTAGAGAGCCTTTGTTGGCGGCATTCTTGCCAGCTTATATACCTTTGCAGAAGGCTTCTCGTTGCACCTACATACCACCATTGCCGAGCAGAAAGAGGAAATGGGCAACACGCATGTCGCCACACTAGAGGATCGAGTGTTGGTATCGGACTGTCCATACTTTGACACCTACGTCCGGTAGGGGAGCCCTGCGAAGCCGTGAATTTAGTAGAGATGCGCAAGAAGAGATACGCAATGTTCGTCGGCCGAAGCAGGAGTGCTAGGTCGATAAGTGCCTACAGGCATTGCCTACAAGCATGCAGTTTTTACAAGCACGCTTGTGACGCATATGGGCTACACAAGAAGGCGATCCCGACACTCCCGCCCCGCGACAAGCGAACTGTTTTCCCTATCTAGGAAGTCATGTTACACGACATACGCCTAACACGAGGCCGAGAGCCCGTGTGTTACTCTGACTGCATGAGCCGGTGACACCGGCCCCACGGGCTGGAATCACTAGTTCTCCCAGGCCCTCCCCTATTGGTCACTCGGACGTATCTCCAGCTTGCGGCACAAACGCACCCCGCATGGCTCTGGTGGCGTCGTTCTTGCCAGCTGAGCGGCAACCTTAGCTAGAGGCGTCGCTCATGCAAGCTGAGCTGCAACCCTAGCCAAAGCGGGGAAATAGACACGGGCAAGACGCCGGAGTGAGCGAGCGCACGCACCTACATGGGAGTGATATTGGTAGATCAGTGTGTCGTCTTACGCATCCCCGCAGATCAAATTACCGCATGCAAGTAGCCCTCCGCGCCGTCTAGTCAGCGAAACAAGCCCAAGTGAATGAGGACATGCTGCTACTGCTTGACATGAACGGACAATCGGAAGAGCCATCGGGCAGGACAACAAAGTACCGCTACGAAACCACAACCCCAGCTCGAGACTACACATGCAGTAGGTAACTTGCACGAGGGGCAGCGGGGCCGGGGCGGGATCAACGTATATTTACTGCACAGAACTGAATTTTAAGCGGATAACAACGCGCATCTCCGACCCCAGCTCATAAGCCTTTAGCTATGACATCGCACGTGTGACCACCAGCCACTCCCTTTCCTATATAAGCTCCCAGAAACACTCCAGCACAAGTCATTCCGCACATACATACAGCCCTTGAACCCCACTTAGCGGATCCGCATTGTTACTCCAACGAGTCGCTTAAGCATAGTTCTCTTCTGCTTAAGTACGTGGCTAAGCGCTGTGCTCAGTGTAGTATGCACGGCAGCCGAGTGGGTGAGGAGCTGCTCGCAGCACTGTGTGCAGGATCTGGACCACAACAACGAGTAGCGTTGCAAGCCCTATTTGTGGCGGACTTGTGCTAGGGCATGGATTTGGGAGGGGGGATTGGCGGTGCTATGGTTTCTTGACTTCCTTTTGCGTTTGCTACGGGTTTGGCGATTTTTTGTTGAACTTCTTCTGTCATTATCTGTATGAGCTTGGGAATCCTGCTTCCAGTTATACAAGGCTTTATCCCCGCAGCCACAGCACATGTCATCGCAGGTTTACTCATAGCTTAACCCTATCGAGAGCGTTGTGGAGTTTTCCGCCGGCATGGGTAGTCTCAACAGCTGCAATCAACACCTAAATCAGACAACAGGCCCTGCAAATGCAGGCGGTGGCGTTTTCTCTCAGCGCCACCAGCACAACAAACGCTACCCACCTCCCAATCACAAGCAATCCCAACGCTGACGCCAAACCTGCAGCGGCTCGTATCGCCGCACCCCGCACACGTCCATGCATGCGGCTCCGCATGATCGCCCACTAGCGCGGCGCTTATGCATCATTTACACAGCTCTGACGTTGGAAGTTGGCCAGGGGGTTGGTAAGAGCTAGGCGGATCGGGTTTAGCGTGATGCGGAGGACGGATTGCTGCATGCGGCTGTTGGCGGCTGCGTGAGATGACGAGAGGATCTGAGGAAGAAGTGAGGGCGCGGTTTGTTTTTCTTTGCCAAACTTCCATTGCAGGTGCGTGCTTCAGCGAAGATGCTCACTCCGCTGGCAGAGCGGAGAGCCAGCGCTTCCCCATACCTTCCGCTTAATGCTCACGAAATGGGTCTGCTCGTGCGTGTGCGACCGCCTTCCCTTCATGTGACAAAAACAAAAAACGCAGCGCTTGCGCGGGCTTAACGTCCGTTACTGTGAAACGAGATTCACCGGAAAGCGAGATGGTGATATGTGTATGCTCTAAGAACTTTACATCCATACCCAGGACTCGTGCTATGAGCTAGACAAGGAGTACTCTATAGGGACTGCTTGTGTCGTCCCCTGTCTCGCTAGTAGGATGAGAATTATACGTTTATAAGCGGCGTGTTAGTATCTAATTCGCGAAGCAGGGATCTGGCTCGGCACGTCCAAGCTCTGCGCTCCTCCTTCATCAAACTTTATCATCGCGTGGTCGGGCTTATGGCTTTGCCATCCTTCTGCAGGGCTCGCCATGTCCGTGTTGCGTACTTGCACTTTGCTATCCGAAGCATTGCAAGCCGCGCACAGATCGAGTTCCTTGCAGACGGTGCACTTGTAGCGAGTGCCAGTGACCCATCTTGGTCGAAACTCCTCATCGCATTCAAAATATTCCTCACACAGCGGCCCATGGCACCTCACACCATAATGGCAGTCAGCGCGCGGCTCCTCGGCCCCCGCAGCACGCAGCAACGCAACAACCGCTCTCCAACCCCCCGACAAGTGCAGCGGCGCGCCCGCCAGCCCCACAAGCGCAGCCTCGTGCACAGTTCCAAAATGGCCTTTCGCACCAACATCAGCCCCCGCAGCAAGGAGGACGCGCACGCTCTCGGCATTACCCTCAAACCCCGCGCTGTGCAGGGGCGTGTCGTCGACGCGTGTGAGCCGGCTTCGCCCACTCGCTGCTTGCGCGTCGGCACCGTGCCGCAGCAGAATCGCAAGCACCTCCGCCCGGTCCAGAATGGCTGCCGCTTGCAGCGCGCTGTCTTTCGCGGCGGCGTCTGCGACGCCTGCTTCGAGTAGTAGCGTCACTACGTCGCTGTCGCCGCTAGCGCTGGCCGCTTCGAGCGGGCTGCTGTAGTAGCCGCCTGGCGCGTTGATGTCTGCGCCGGCAGATAAGAGAAGCTGCACTGCGGCTTTGGAAGAGCGATGGGCTTGCTCGGCGCTGCAGGCGGCTTCTAGGGCTGTGCAGCCCGACTCGTCGGCTGCGTTGATGTCTGCCCCGTGGTCTAGAAGCATGCGCAGGATTTCGATCTTTGTCGATTCATTCTCGGTCCCTGCCAGGCAGGCGGCTTGCAACGCAAAGCTCTTTGCCGTCTTTCTGTGGGTGAGGCTTCCATGAGGTCCGTATACGCGGTACATAGGTACCGAGCCTTTATCATAAACGCTAGCGCCGTTATCGAGTAGGAGTCTTACGACACCAGGATATCCTGCTGTACAGGCCTCGTGCAGTGGATGGATTTCTCCGTCCTTCGTACATGACGTCAAGTTAACATCCGCGCCAGCGCGTACGAGAGTCTCGACTGTTTCCTCGCTGCCTCTTCTTACAGCCACGACAAGCGCAGTCTCTCCACTAGGGCTTCTCTCGTTTGGATCAGCGCCCTGTCCGACGAGACGTCTGACGAGATCTCCAGAGTCCGCTTGTACAGCCGCATGAAGGAGTACCGGCATGTCCGAGTCATCGGGCTTACAGTCCCACGTCAGAAGGAGCTCCACGACCTTTATATTCCCGTTTAGTGCTGCACAGGCCAGTGCTGCAGGTCCTTGAACAGCAACGTCTGCGCCTGCATTCAGGAGGATATCGGTGGCATTCTGCTCGTTTGGCGCCCCTGGGGCTGAAGAATCAATTTCTTTGACCGCAGACGCTTCCAGCGCGCTCCTGAACCCTTTGTCACCAACAACGTTGACATCCCCTCCCGCGTCAAGAAGATAACTGGCCATGGATCGGTTCCCTGCACAGGCAGCGGCAGCCAAGGCGGAACCATACCAGCCGTTGGAAAGGTTGAGGTCGGCGTTATATTGCAGCAAGAGCTCGACGATGCTGCCGTTGCCGCAAAAGGCAGCGGCTTGAAACGCTGTTCCGATACTCCCGCCCTCGAGGTTCGGTCGCGCTCCATGCTCAAGCAGAAGTTTTGCTGCGCGCTCGTTCCCGTTCAGAGCAGCACAATAAAGGGGACGAATGTTATTTTCGTCGGGGAAGCCCGCTTCGCTTTTGTGGTGTGGAACCCCGTCTGGGCTGGCGCCGAGCGCCAGGAAGCATCGGAGAAGCTCGTACTGATCCTGTTCTACTGCCATGAGGAGATGATGATTCGCGAACACAGCCCCACGAGATAGCAGTACGTCAACCACGTCTTTGTGCGAGAAGGATACTGCGTGGAACAATGCGTTTGAAAACGTGGAGTCGCCTTCGATGCCTCGCGCGCCGCTGTCAAGTAGCTCCTGCACTAAAGAGATCCAGTTCCGGCGGCTTGCGGCCTCGAGAACAGTCTCTCCCTGTATGTGTTCGTTTGGGTCTGCGCCGAACTGCAGCAGTAGACTTAAGGCTTTGTCGTCTTCTTTGAAAAGGGAAATGGACATGGGTGTTCTTCCTTGAACGTCCTCCAACGACTGGCTTAAATTGACCCGCAGCATTTGCTCGATTTGGTAAATGCTTCGATTCGTACATGCCAAGTGTAGTGCAAACGGATGGACTTCCTGATGGCTCCACATCTTGCTCTCTCTGACCATTGTGGACTCAACAAGCCGCGTGGTGAAAACAATGGTTCGAGCGTTGAATTGCCAGTTCAAGTACATCGAATCATGTTTCTTTCTCTCAAGCCCAGCGTGCTTCAGTCTAGCCAGAGCAGTCAAGGCATCGTCGTGCAAGGACAAAAGCTGGACGAGCGCAGTTTCCAGCATACCCTCGGCATCTGCGCATATGAAATGCTCGTCGAAATGCTGCGCGCAATAGCGCGTAAAGTCGGCATCGTAGCTTTGCGCATCACCGGCTTCGAGACAGACAAGCCGCAGATACCGCAAGCAGGTGCTTGCGAGCGCGGCCTCGGCCTTTCCTCTGCTCTTCAGAACTTGGGGAACGGTTCTCATGCCTCGTGCTGCGGCTTCTTTGTGGAAGAACTCGACGAAGGAATAGTGTACCGGCCGCATGAAGTTGCATTCACTGCAGCCGATACGCTCGCCTTTTCTGTAGCGGTTAGGACACTGCTCATGCTTGTACTCTGCTACGAGCAGGCCTCCACAAATATCCACTAGTGCCGACAAAGGGTATTTTTCCTTGGTGTTCTGGAACTGCTCCCTGCTGACGCAGCCGTCTTGCGTCAGAACAGCATCTCTGAATTCGTCGAGGCGCAGCTGCTTGCGCGCATAGAGCACCCATACCAGGCACCTCCACGCAAGATCACGCAACGGCGTTGGCTGCGCAGCTACTTGCTGCAGAAGCCGGGCGTATGTTTCGTTCAGGCCGATTGGCAGGGTTTTCAACGCTTTGAGAATCTCTTTGTCGCTTTTTTGCCGACAGAGGCTTTCCAGTTGTAGCTCGACCCAGAGGAACGTCCCGTCGTTGCGCTTCAAGAGTGCGTCCAGGATTTTGTCTTTGGTTGCTGCGCCTTGAATCTCCAGTCGTTGCGTTCTGGCGCCCTCTCCGTACTGCGGTGCCCGTGTTAGAAGGTCTAGCTTTTCACGCGCGTACGTGGCGATGTCCGTCTTGGAACCGGCCGCTTTGATGGCTGTTGTCGGTACTTGAAAGGTATTCAAAGTCTCGCGTATGGAATCCTCAGGACGACTGGTAAGGAAGATCTTTGCGGTAGGCAGCCTTTGGGTAACCTCTTCCATGAACGCGAAAATAAAATACCGCGACTTATCGTTGCATTCATCCAGGGCATCAATAACGACAAACGTCTCTAAGAACTGTCCGGCAATGGAGAAAAACGATTCGGAATATTGTTCCAGACTGGGAATCTGAGCGTTTTGATAACAAGTTTCGTAGAGACCGACGACGTCTTCCGGCAGCTTTTCGAGCTGGCTCGCCAGCTTCCTGGTGAGAGCAGCAATGACGTTCTCTGGTCGTTGGCTGTCAACTTTGTCGTATCGGAAGTAAGCAAATGCGAGACCAACACTAGCCGTGTCAGTGCTGCTCTCTGTTCTGCGTTTTCTGACCTTGTCCACGACGATGCTGCTGAGAACTGACTTCCCCGCGCCCGGTGGACCGTTGCACCACAGCAAGCTTGTGCTTTGGCTCGAAAACCAAGCTTGGAAATCCTCGCTCTCTAAGAGCCAGGTGCCAGTCCCGGGCCATCGCTTTTCTAGGGTATCCTCTTGGACGGTGTTAAAGTCGGAAGGGCAAATCCAGTCCAGGATCTTCTGGCGTTTTTCTGCGCGAAGAGAGACTAGCTTGCTGGCCGGCTTGAGCTTTCTATCTCTCTTGATGTCGGTTACTGTGTCGAAAAGGGCGGCTTTGGAGGATCTGTTCAAATATTTGAGATGGTCTCGGATTGCGGTGTCTATTTCTTCAAACTGTGCTTCGAAAGTCTCCCATTGCATCGGCTCAATTCTGCGGAGATGATCATGACTGCTTTTGAATACCAGGTGGGCGTAATGGTAGAATTCAAGGATAGCACCGTAGACGTTTGCTGTGCAAGTTTGGGCAAGCTCGAGGTCTTCGTGTTTTGAAAACTCTCGCAGAAATTCCAAGTGGTTGTTGAGACGATCGATCATGACCGTTAGTTTCATGTAAAGCTCGACATATTTTTTTCCTAGGTCCAGGACCAGTCTCGCGCCACCAATCACAAGGAAAGAAATTTCGGGAGTGACTTTGATTCCCGTTGTGGCACTCCCCAAGAGCTGGTCGAGAAGACCAAGAAATTTCTCTGTGGAGTCGGCAAGCTTCCGGCCATCGGACTGTTTGTCGTCGCCACCAATTGTCGCGAGATTTGCCAGAAGGCCGCGGGGCTCGATTGTCTGGTATGCATCCTGAAACGTTCGTAGCTCCTCAGCAGAAATGTTCTCTAAATGCTTGCTTAGAGCCAGCGCAAACACGTTGTCGTTCCCGGTCGTCGTTAGGATGAACAGTGGAGTCGGCGAGACAAGTCTCGGTGACCTCGATCGTGACGTCAATGGAATGCAAAGTCGCTCTAAAAGGCCAAAGCAGCAAGACATAACTGCTATGGCGGAGCCCCGTGGACCACCAAAGCGAAAACAGTACTACGCGGTGTTCGTGAATTTCAGGCGTGTGGGTTGGGGAGAATGTCAGACTACTGAGAAAACCGGTAAGCATCAGCTGACTAGCAGGGGTGTTCTCGTATACATTGCGCATTCTGTAGTAAGCCGATGCTGATTGGTCACACAGTGAGATGGGCCAAGAAGTGGCTGCCTAAACTGAATAGTAAAGGCTAATCATTATTGCTGCAGATAACACCCATCCCGAGAGTTACACAAGCCGATAGGCCCCGGTAAGTTACGTTTGCTAATTCGCCTCCAAAATATGTAGCTCAACGTGAGAGACAACTAAAGAAATCTAAACTGTTTGAATACTCTCTCTATAGAATCGAACTCTATTGTATGTAAATAGTGATACGTTTTATTGAGATACAAAGAAAAAGAACAAGATCTTTAAGAGGGCAACATGGCGCGGCTAAAATTAGCATAGAACGCCGTTTTAAGTTGCGAACAATAACCATTTTAAACACTTCTTTATCTTCAATGTTACGCAAGCTAACAATGCACTCATGTTTCGTTACTATAAACGCTTGATACTTTTAAGACCCCATCCAAAAACACATCCACTAATTTTCCAAATTTCAACTAATAATCCTGACCCAATCATGAGCACCCAGAAAGAGGACCCAGAGGACGATGTCCCTCAGCAGACCATGCAAGACGTAATGTTTCAATACGAAAGCCTGGAAAATGAAGTAGAATACCTACTGTCACAGCTGGATTACCAACAAGCCAGATCCGAAGGGTCAGAGGCCGAAGTCGAACTACTGCGGTCACGACTGGATAACCAGAAAGCCAAAAACGAGGAGCTCAGCACAGTAAACCCCTCGTTGAAAAACAACAGAAGATCTCAGGAGAAAGTAATCGACAAACTACACATGGAAATCAGCCAGCTGATTAGGAAGAACAAGGACACGGATTCCATTCGCATACAGTTAACTGACTACTACGACAAACTGGCCAAAGAAGCTGACGAGCTGCTCAAGGATAACAACGACATGGATGCCGCCCAAAAGCAGCTGACCGACGATTACGACAAACTGGTCCAAGAGAAGGAGGCGTCGTTAGCCACTAAACAAGAACTGAGCACTGAGAACGCGAAACTCCAGGCCGACCGCGCGGAGATGCAAGCGAAATATGAGGCGCTACTAAAGGAAAACGCCGAACTTCGGAAGCAAGCCGAGAAGGGGCAGAACCAGGTTACGCCCACCAAGCAAGCAGTACCAAAGAACGGACGAAGAGAGAGTGCACGTACCAGTACAAGGGGAAATGGCACCGTCAGCAAGGCCAAGGCTGGGGCTGGGACTCCGAAGTGATTGAACCACTACATTGGGTCTTCCAGAATATGATAAATCTCGCCAGTCGATGTTTTCAGACCAGCTCCTTCGAGGCTCAATATTGTTTGGGAGCCAAGGCTTGTGGGACGGAGGGAAACTCGGCGCATTGAGGAGCCTGGTGAGATTATGGGTAAGTGAAGAAGGTAGTAGGGTAAGTTTTTCTTTGTTGTTTCTGTTTTTATTACGCTTCTTTATGCTCCTTACAAAGAGATACAGTTTTTAAGTTTTTTGTTATTCTGCTTAAGAGTAATGCCCCAATCCAGTGACTCTTATACGAATATGGTCTAAGTCCAAAGTGTAAAGACGAGCATATTAGTTCCATCTAAGCATAGCTCCTGCCTAAACCTCTTCCGTTCCATGAGCCGCTAACCAGACAGTAGCATGTCTAAAACGCTTCAGCCGCATAACGTCCGTCATCGTCAAGTGAGAATCCACTACCCAACGAGATAGTTATATCGTACGAAGTAGAAGAAGAAATCCTTGTATGGTACTTATGATATATATATACTTTAGTACTTCGTCGGTTTGATCCAGAGTTTATGCCTATAGATAGACAAGGAGTAGTCCATAAGGACTGCTTGTGTCGTTCTCTATCTGGCTGGGTGGTGGATTTCGGGTAACGGTAACGGACGTTACAGACCGTTATTTGTAGCGTTATAGATGCATTACAAACTAAAACAAACCTACGAGCTATCTATTGTAGATGTTGTCGCTTTGGAAATTCGTAACTTTTTACTGACCCATCTGCTTCATGCTCCGGGTAGTACTTTAGCGTTCTATGTAACCAGAGACTTTCCCACAGACGCCTATTAGCTAGACAAAGCAAGTTTCTAGAATAAAAAAGAATTCTGATCTACGATATCGCAAGTGTAAAGGCTCTACAATCCCAGGATGTTTATTATAGAAGCAAAGACACTATGATTTAAAAAAGAAAAAGGGAAAGTTTAGTAAAAACATGTTTTTATGTATTCAAGAACGGGAGCAAGCTATACCCACCAAAAAATGAGAAAAGTATGCGACATTACTAATTTGACGAGTTCATATTAGGTATTTTACAATATTCCAGCACTTCAGTTTTTTTTTTTTTTATCATGTTTCTCATTTTTTGCCTCCATATTTTTGTTACGTAGGTTTTAGCGATTTTTTTGCGTTTTGTGTTCTAGTTTCTCCTTCCGCTCATCTTAGAAAGAATTCAACCAGAACTCAAAGGAAAGAAAGAAAGAGAGAACGAAAGAAAGAACATCCGAAGTTCCAAAAGGATACCCGCTACCACCCCCAGTTTCTAAAGTTCGTGTGCACGAGAATCAGAGAAGGCGCAGGAAATTTTGTCGACCATCAAAGCTCACACAACATCGCTGTTGCGACGAAGCAACAACCTGTGCAAATGGACTATGCGGTGGCTCCGCATGGGAATGAAGCGTGGGTCTGACACCAGGCCTCTCAACTCCTCAACCTTACCCGCATCCTCCGGGTTCACGTAGGACCAAGGCCATTTGCCTTCCACGAGCCAGTTGTCCGGGTCCTGCCCCTGTATAGAGAGGCGATATCCAGGACGGATATTGTGTAGCGCAGCCCTAGTATTCCTAACATACCGGATCAGGTTCGTGTCATCCGCTAAGAATGCAGCAGTGCTGCACGTATCCAGGAACTTTCGCGGGTCCTCGGCAAACTGCGCCGCGAGGGTAGTGGCGAAGTACATGGAGCGCGGGTTGGTGGACAGCTCTTTGTACAACCACTTTAAGGTGTCTAACCGAGCGTCAGTGAGGATGTCCCTGTGGATCAGCCTGGATAGGACCTTCTGGGCGCGCTCATACATGCCCTTCCAGTGTGCAACGTCTTTCGTCAGATTCGCAATCGTCTTTTTCGACGCCTCGGTGATGTTTCTCCTGTGTGTTTCCACGATTTCATTTAGGCGAGACATAACCACGTTGTGCTGGAGCTGTAGGTCGTGGTATCGGGTCTGCCACGCCTCATAGGCCACCATCTGAGATTTGGCCTGCTTGAGCTCGTCCTTCAAATCGACGATCTCGATTGCTTGCGCGACGTTGATGACTTGCTCTTGTTCTCGAGCGGTGGCCTCCGCCTCGTTCTTTTGGCGAAGTTGCTCGTTTTCGCGCTCAAGTTGACGGCATTTTTCCTTCCATTCCTCGAGCTCAGAAATGAGTGCCGGCATCGGGGTAGAGTTGTTGGTGACCGACATGATGTTTGAGCTTGCTGAATGTGTTTTTGTTGTGGTTTGTGCGGAAATGGATGCCATTATATAGGGCGAAGTGTCAATGTTCTAGTGGTATTAAACACATACAATATTCTTGTTGGTGCACGTCACGCTACACTGTCCGCAAATAGTCATTATTTCAATGTCTACTCACTGACATTTTGCATACGCGATAGTGGCGCTTCCAAGTAGGTGCCGGTAAAAGGCGTAATTGTGTTGAAAAGAGCTTATAATGGTCTTGACGTGGCTTAATGTCAGCGTGCAATATGATATTCTAGCTAAACGCTTTGCTTACAGCGCCGTTCCCATGATATTTCTCCGCATGCTTGTTCCAGTTTTGTTCTGGTATTGTTAATTATAAGCTTGTGGTTTTGGGAGTTTGTTGTCTCACAATATATCGTTAATATAAACCTGCATTGGGAGTAAACTGCATGTTCGAAAAGATTTAAAGGAACACTATTCACGAATAGTTAGAATACTAAAAATATCATTAGTCACAAGCGCAGGTGCAAATTGGAAGTGAAATCAAGGAAGGTTTTTTTTCATGTTTTTGAGTTTTCATATATATACTAATCCAAAAAATCAATCAGACCTTGCTACTCGTAAGAAAGTGCGATAAAAAAAGTGTGATAGGGGTGAGATGGCTCAATAAAGCCAGCGCAAGAAAGAACCACAAAGAAAACCTTAAGACAGACATGGGACAGAGCGTGAAAATTTACCATCGGTCTCATCATGCTGTAGAAAGGCGTCGATTTACGGTTGTGAGGGAACGCGGTTGCTTGAATGGAGTCGAGCTAACCCCCGTTGAACTCTCTGAAATAGAACTCTATCGACTGCCACAGGCGAGAACCCAACTCAGCGGTGATCTGCTTGTTGACGAGCAGAAAGTTGAGTGGAGAACGAGGCGCATTCTGAATCGTGTCGTACGGCTTCCAGTATCTCGGTTCGACACGGTGAAGCTTGGTGTAGAGGTTTCCACCTTCGGCCATTTCCCCGGCAAGCACCAACGTACCCATGCCGGCCTACTCCTCCTCAAAAGCGCCGGGCATTCTGCGCTTATGCAAATAATTACACTGCTCGACCTGCCTCTCGAGCTCCCACACCCACTCACGCAGCCCCCTCACCTCAGCCGCATGCGCCTGCTCCAGCGCACTTTTCTGCCGCTCAAAGCCCTCCTCCGCAGTCTTCTGCGCAGCCTCGACGCGCCGCGTCTCCGCCTCCGCGCGCAGCACCTCAGCGCACCGCGCGCGGTACGCGTCGTACATGGACGCGTACGTCGCCGCTTGCGCGTCGTGCGCGGCTTCGAGGACGTTGCGCTCTTTGCGCCATTCCTCGGATGTGGCGATGACGTTGGCGAGCTTGCGCTGGGTGTCATCGGCCCAGCGGTTTAGTTTGTCGTAGTCCTCGTGTGAACTGTTCAGCTTGGTCTCGAGGTTTTCGGCGGTGTTGCGGAGGGCCTTGTTCTCCTGAGTGAGAGCGTCGTGATCGGTCACCAGCGCGTTGTGCTCGGTGACCAACTCGTTGTGCGCAGTAACCAGGTTGCTGTGGTCTTCGTATACTACTTTGTAGTTACCAAGAAGGCTTGCGTAGTCCGCCTCAAGTTGGTTGTTTTCCATCTTGAGCGTTGTTGACGTGGTTCGTTTAATAATGGCCATTTTTGATCACTTGAAGTTGTCTATATACTTTGAAGTGTTTTAAGTTGTTCGTGAACATATTCATGATGGATCAGGTATCTGGTAGGATGGTTTATATGGATCTTGATGCAATATGTTTGTACTATGCGGGTATCCGCTACGTTCTTTGACGGTAGTTCTTTGAAGACTGTCTTTCCGCCTCTTCGTTCATGAAACGCTGCTGTTCTTGCATTTTTCAAACATTGTTCTTTGTTGAACGTTTGATGTCTACATCTACACTGGTAAAAGATGGTCTCACCAACATGACAGCCAGTGATCAAACAGTACTTTCAGCAACACTAGCCAGACCTTACCAGTAACCAGAACGGCGATTCATTGCCTAAGGAAACAGCAGCATGAAGGTGCCTGTACAGCGGCAGCCCTAGCTTGCTTGTGCAGTGTCGGGGATTCAAGAGACTGATGAGCATCCTCGGCATATAGAGATGGCGAGGTCAATGCCAGGAGTAGCGGTAATGACTGACATTCTACATCCCCATAAAGAGCTTGCACCCTATCACAAACTAAAAACGAGTGTCCAAGTCTCCCTAAAACCTCCACCTCTTATCCCCTCCTTCCACCCTGCCGCACTCACCTAAGCCCCCTCAAATGCCCCCCTATCCACTCATCTTTGTCAATTCCTCTCCTCCTCCCCCTCCCTCTCTCCATCCTCAAGCGGCCTATCCAGCCCCACCCTCTCGAGCGTCGAGTACGCCTTCAAGCCCCCATCCCTGCGCACCTCCGTCACCAGCTCCTTCCTCCCCGTATCCACCAGCAAGCGCAGCAAGTCCGGGCGCGCGTAATGCCCGCCGAAATCCGCTATCGCTTTCGTGAGATGCGTTTCGTCTGTGTCGATCTGCACGTGCCGTCAGCGATCAGTCATCGTTCACAGTGGCACCATCAAGGACAGTAAGTTGCGAGGAAAGCTCGGGGGGAGGGGGGCTTACATCGACGACCAACAGCCCGTCAAACTCCGGATCCGGCTTCGCAAGCACGCGTCCATCGGGCGAATAAATCCTCGCAAAGCCATTATTGACGGCAAAGTCCTGCTCGAGGTCCACGCCCCTCGCCAAAACTTCACTCGCCTCAATGCCCTTCCTCGTAACACGGTGCATAGGGGCAATAACATACGCGCCTGTCTCGATCGCGTACGCGCGATTGACGACATCAGCCGCGACTTCGGCTGTCAGCGACGCAGGAGCTGGATCTACGCGCGCTGCCTGCCCGGGCATCAGCGGCCACGCGGCTACGTGCACTTGCTCGCCTTGAGACGCGTTTAGCGCCTTGAGGAACGGGTTCATGTTCTCCCAGCAGTTGAGCTGGCCCAGGCCGCCGAGCTCGGTAGAAGTGACAGAGGTGAAGGTGTCGTTGGTGGCGTCGCCGAAGATGAGTTTTTCGGCGTGCGTGGGCTTGATTTTGCGCCGGAAATTGATGACGTCGCCCGTGGGGGAGATTAGGACTTGCGTCATGTAGAGGGTCGCGAGGTCGAGCTCGGAGAAACCGAGGGAGACGTAGCTGGGGTTGGTTAGTGGCTGTGTCGTCGCTTTGAGTAGTGGGGTGTGCTGGGACGTACATCTTGTTGTCGCGGGCGGCGCGCCGGATCCGCAGCATTTCCCCGGAGTTGGCTTTGAGGCTGGTCTCGCGGTAAGCCTTGAGGAGGGGGAGGGATTGTTGGTAGTTCAGCTGGAAGATCCAGAATGGATGGCCGGGAATCCCTTTGGGGGTATTCGTCAGTTAGTCTGTCATCTGGACCGGACGAGGACGAAATCAACGTACAAACTTCTGGAAAGGCGACGAGTCTGCATCCTGCCTTTGCTGCTTCGTTGATCCAGTGAATGGTCTTCTGGACGCTCAGTTCGAGATCAAACCACCCAGGCTCAGAGGTGACCTGTATGCTGTTAGTTTGAAAGAACAGAAGATGCTGGTGGGAACGTACGGCGGCGGCTTTGAACTTAGTGATGGGAGATGACATGTTGCTTGTTGAATTTGCAAAGATGCAAGTGGATGTTTAGCTGAATAGAAGATGTTTTGATGGAGAATCAGTCTTCCTGCTCTCGCTCTTCGTCTTAAATACTGCGAATTTCCCATGATTACTTTCCTATCACCGTTAACTTCACAATTGTACTCGCTGTAGATAATCAGAAAGTGTTTACTATTCACCGTCTGGAAGCCTTGCATATAAGCTTACAAGCTCCATATCCGTCGACGATTAGGCGCGAACCCTTCCGTCGGGCCCCCGCAAAGCGGAGCTCAGCTCCGCAAGGGATCTCTTGGTGATGATTGGAAGATGGACGATTAGTGAACATGCCTGAGCTGCGGCGCATGCAAGGGCCTGCAGCTCGACATCACCCGGAAGATGAGGCGGGGGAGCCGATTACGATATCAACGGCGAGGGTGCAGCTCGAGTGACACAGCACAGGCGAGGAACGCACGCCACTGTCTTTGATTTCAAAGGGTGAGAATGTTGATTAATCGCGTTTCCTGTCAAGCCTCGTGGCGCTCACTGCGGCGTTCGTTCCTGGCTTGCTGCGCGCGGTGGCTCCATCGGTGCTGCTGGCATGTCTCTTCAGAAACTCCTCAAGGGGGCGTGTTCCCATCGGTGGTGACAGCGGGATGGCATCGCTATCCAAGTCGGACATGGAGAAGAGCGTGAAGGCGTGTGGTGGACAAGGTTGAGCAGCAGAGTCCAGACAGGGAAATCGTTGAGACGCGCCGGCCCGCCCTGGCTTCCCCGCCAAACTTACCCCGCACCGCATCCAGACTTCAACGTCATCCTCTTCGACCACACCACAACACCACCCACCCCTGAGGCCCTCCTCATCATGTCCGGGCTCATAAGATCCTCGCGAAGTGGCACCGGCCCCTGAGTAACCCATCCACGCGATACATCCTCTTCCCGCAGTCGCAAACGACCACCGCCGTCTTGCAACGCTGAGCCCAGCGTGCGCGCGCCAGCGGAGCAGACATGCGCATGCTGCTCCGATCGGACTCGCGTCCGCTCTCAGCTCCAACGTCGTTGTCAGGTACCTGTCCAGTATCGCGGACGCGTATATTTCGGGTGTGCGTGGTTTGGGTTCCGGCTCGGATAAGGACATTGGTGTGGCGTAGTCGGAGTTGTCATTTGAGGTACACATAAAGATGAAGAGATGGTAGCGATGACGGCGTCCTGGTGTTTAGCTGCTGGATGGAGCCGTTTGCGCTGGTGTGGAAGCGGGCGGTTCTTGCTGGTGGCGCATGAAAAGCGGGGTGTGCGATTGAGTGCCTCTGGAAGATGTGGGAGCGGAAGGTATGAAAAAGAGTGGAAGTGAAGAATTGGATAGAAGCATCGGAGAAGGCGAGGGCGAGCGCGGTGGTCGTGGGCACTGTGAGAGTGACGTTGTTGGTGTCCGACGGGCCTTTCTGGTGGATCTTGGGACGCAAATCATGAGACCGAATTGTGAGGCCGACAATGAAGAAGTAAGGTTAGAGGCGCGATGGGCGAGTGAGGAGTGCTGTCAAGAGTCTAGGTCGCGATTGGTGCGAGGGCCTTAGACTTTGGGGTGGAGAAGACTTGCTAGCGGAGCCTGGGCGAAAAGACGCAAGAGCTGATTACTCCTGCGATCATGGTGCCAAAAAGCGTCAGCAACAGGAACGGTAGCGGTGGCGTTTACAGTGGACAGGCCTTACTAGCGCTTAAGGTGAGACAGAGAGAGCTGACTGTCCAGATACTGCGTTGGCGGCGGCTCGTCACGGTGTCTTTTGACGATTCCTTCAGCCTTGCGCGCGCACTCAGGCACAAGCTTCACTTCACTTCACTTCCGTCGGAGCAAACGCACGCCTGCCTAGACACTTAGTCACGTGGTATTCTGCAGCCTTTTTTAGTTGTTCGACGGCTCCCGACGCTCCATCTCTCCACCACCCCACCCTTTCCTACTACTTTCTCCCCGCTTTGGCACGTCTGCTTTGCCTGTCAACACCGCAACCTTCCTCGTTTGCGCCCGCGTCGGCGGCGAGCTCAGCACCATGGCGGACGCAGCCAATATCTGTGCCATGTGCAACGAACCTGCAATGGCCGTCTGCACCCGTTGCTGCAGCATCAAGTACTGTTCGAAGAACTGCCAGAAAGTCGACTGGCCTATCCACAAGCCACTTTGTTGTGCTTTCTCTACCTTCGGCGTCGACAAGCGCCCTAGCGAGGACCATGTCATTGCGCTCCTCTTCCCGCAGGACAAAACCAAGCCTCAGCTCATTTGGCTTCATTGTCCATGGCAACGCGACATAGAAGACAATCCTACTCGACAACTTCCCGAGTATAAGGAGCTCATCGGCGAGAACGATCTTATCGGAGTCAGCTCACTTCAGTTCGACACTCTTCTTGACCGCGAAATTTACGACACCATTTCAGTTCTCTATCGCGAAAATTTCCTCGCAGACGGCTCCAAGTTCAACGAAAGCATCTCACACCTGAAGCCTGCTGGAGTTGGCCATCATTGGTGTGGCCCGGTTATAGCTTACGTTGGACGAGGCTCGGACGACCATCCGCGGGCAATGCGCGACGTTAACCTCGGTGATTACAGACACGTCGTGGACTTTTTTCTGACCTTTTCTACCATGGGTGGCCCAGCGCATGACGGACGCTTTCGTGGCAAGACAATCAAGGGTGTCAAGGTCAACTGCGATGGCGATGTGAGGCTGCTCGGTACCACAACCTATGAAGCCGTGGACGTGCCTCCAACCCATCCTATCTTCTACGATCACGACGAGCCCAGCATTGCCAAGCATATTGGCCTCTCCGTCCTGACTCGGAAGTGCGAGCCGAACCCAATTTGGGCGAAAGGCAGCTCGATGGGTTTTTACGACAACCAACCAGTCACTTTTCTGCACATGGACTGCGACTTGAACACTATGAGCGTTCCGGGCTGGGGATGGGCCCCAAACAAGTGGCAAAACAAGGTCGGGAGCGTTCTCATTGTGCGCAAGGACTGCAAGCCTCTGCTCCCGCTGCATGCGGCTGCGCTTTGCAACTACTGCCAGACCTATCTTCAGCCGCGTTTCGAAAAGGCTGTTGAAGCTACAGGACCGAACATGATGGCCACGAGGACGAATTTCTTGGCTAGAATCACGAGGGAGAACTTTGAGCTCTGCTGGAAGGAGACACTGGAGAACAAAGATGTCTACGGATCAAACATGGATGCCCCGAATCCCTATGACGTAGATTGAGGCTTCATGCGATGGGGAGCTGCAGAGCGGCAGCATTGGCTTCTTTGAGTACTCTTTCCGACCGCAGCACAGGCTTGCAGTTGGTACGTAGACATGAGACAGTGTTGATGAACTAGTCTCATGCCAGACCAGTGCACTTTGTGAAGAATACGTGACAACTACTGCTCTTAGACATGTTAATGTCGGTCTTCTCCACGTTCTGTCATCTCTCCCATGCACCTCAATGGTGCTCAGTAAGAACACATCTTTGCACTCACTAGAGCATTGCAGAATGCTCATGTACATCTAGAGCAGTCGCGGTGTCTTCCCACATTCATTGACCAACCCTCCTCTTTCAACCCCTCCCACAAAGCACACGTTCTTTGTCCATCCACTCTCTCACCATACAACAAACCCACGGTCAGCTTCCCAGCGCAAACAATGTTCTCCCCGATCGAAACAATGCTGCTCTCACGGCACGCCTCACCGCTCGCATTACAATGCAGACGTTGTGCAAAGTCAACCACTCGACTATTTCTTCGCCATGCTGTCGCATACCAAGCGACACAGAGCTCGACAACCAGAGAGTGCGCAACGCCGCTGCCTGCATCGGCGCAGATTTAACCAGCAGCCACGAGTACAGCAATAGCTACCTATAGCACAAGCATTCAACAATCAGCATTTCACCACAGCCCACCCCGCCACCACAATGTCACCAACGGAGCCCACCCCGCCCCCGGCACCTGGATCCACGCCGACTACATCCGTACCACCTTCCCCTACACCTTCATCCGCCAGCACGAATACGTCACGCGCCTCATGACCGAGCGCTCGACCAGCGACCTCGCGGACAACCTCCGCGAGGACGTCGGCCACGTCCACCCCGCTACTGTCCCCGCCTGCTGTGTCTGCGCGCAGTCGCTCACGGCGCCGTCGCCCTTCCGTGGGCCCTTCAACGTAAGCACTAACAGTGACAACGCCTTGCCCGCCCCCACCACCGCGACGCTGCCCGCGCTCGCGCAACTGCTGGTGCCGGGACATGGCGCCCGCTCACCTTCAGCTTCACCCACATCTGCGCCTGCGTCTTCGATGGACGCATCAGCACACCCCGCCATCGCCGCCCTCTACAACCCCGCCCCCGTCCCCTCCCGCGTTATGCCCCCGCCCCCCCTCCACCCCAAGATCCTCTCCACCGCTTGCCCCCTGCACGTCACGCACGCGGCGTGCTTGCTCACGTACCTGACTTCGCGCGGCTTCGCGGGCGCGTTTTGCCCGCATCCGGCGTGCGCGCTGCCGTTGTATCACCTCGGCCTGGAGCGCAAGGGCGGAGCCGAAGGCGACGGCCACGAAGGCGAGCGCGTGAGTGAGGTTGACGCCAGAGCCACGGCGCTGGACGCGCTCAAGCGCGCCGTGCACGCCAGGACAGAGGAATCGCTGCTCACGGAGCGAGAGCGGGCCGAGGCGGCGTGGCGGCGGGTGGACGCGCTGGCGCCGCTGCCGTCGCGGGGCGTGGCGGGGATGGTGCTGGAGCGGGCGGTGCTTGGTGTTGTGGAGGCGGGGGTGAGATCTTTGGGCCAGGGTGCTAGAAAAGAGGAGGTGGTGGAGAGCCAAGATGATGCGTCCTCCGAGGGCTCCGAGTCCGGCAATGAAGACGACGACGACGACGAAGAAGAAGCCTGGTGGCGCAACGCCGAAGCGGCAGTCTCGGCCGCCGTTGCGGAGAGATACGAATCGGCGGCGGCAGAGGAAGCAGAAGCATGGTACGCCCCCTGGATCGCAGGCGCGCGCGCCGCAGTCGTGCACGAGCGCAAGTGGATGGCGGTGGTGCTGCCGACGATGCGGGAGGAGAGCTGGCGCGCGGACGAGGTGGGCCGGGCGGCTGAGGCGGCGGACTGGGTGGAATGGTTGGTGAGGGTTTTGGAGGCTGCGAGTGCTGGTGCGGAGGTCGCGCCGCTCCCGGTTGCGGGGAGGGCGGCGGGCTTGTTGGCTTAGTTGTTTGGTTTGAGGTGCGCTGGCGCACTTCCTCTTGCCTCTTGGCTTTGACTTGGTTGGTTTTTGGTGGTGCAGGTTGGTTGATCTACTGCTTGTTGTAGTGCCTGCGTAGGTAAATGAAGTACCTTTTCTTTCAGATGTTTTGTGCTATTTTTTTCACCCGTGATAAAGTCCGTCGCCGGGACCCGAGATCTACTGTATAGCGAGATAGGGGACGATATAAGTAGTCCCTACAGAGTACTCCCTGCCTAGCTCGTAGTTCGAGTCCTGGGTATAAGTGATAGGCTCTTAGAGCATACATAGAATATATATTGTAACACCCTAACTGGGTCTCGTCTTCTCTCTGTGTATGTATCGTCATGTCGCTTCACGGTGAAAAACGTTAGTAAAATTCCCATGGTGATATGACTCCTACGTACCTGCCTTTAGGCTGATATGTCGGCCCTAAAAATCCCTTTCGAGTATCAGGTCATCCCTCCCTTCCGAGTACGTACCATAGTCCACACTTCCAAACCTCCTAGTTCAAAATCTCCCGCTGTCGAGCAATATGGGAGAGATGCGAAGGGAGCAGCGGACATGGTATCGACGAGACCATACTCTGAACTATTTCGCGAATGACTTTGTCCATTCCCTTACTTATGCAGTTACTTTCCTCATGGTAATGCATGACCTGGATACCCTGTAGCTTAGCAGAGAGCTCCTCCACGCTCAGTTGCTCCGTCGCCGCAAAAGTCCTTACGAGACCAAGGCCCGTTTGTTGCAGAGGTAGTACCAGCGATCCGAAAGCCATGGCATCGCATTCGAACCGCTTTCCAGCTTCGCTCTGACATACGGTCCGCCCGCTGTTGTAGGCAGACGTGTAGTTTTCCAACGTCTTGTAGTAGACGTCAAGGATGGCAGAGATAACTTTTTGCTGGATTGCGATGATGTTTTCTTCGTCCAAGTTAGCTCTTACAGTGATGTACTCAAGATGATAGAACTGACCAATAATGTCGGGAGGCATGTGCTGAGAAATATCAAGCGGATCCAGCACTTTCCCACCTTGCGTAACACACATCAAGCGTCCGTCCTCGGACAGCGAGCCATTCACCCGCACCGTCCTCACCAAATGATCCGCCAACGTCTTGAAATTATCCAAATGCCCAAACTCCCACGCAACCCAAAGCCACTGCTCGAACCCCGGCGCCAACAAGTGTCCCTGCATACCCGCCATCCAAGTAAAATACCACGGGCGGACCAGCGTCGTAAGGTCATATTTATCCGTGAGAACCGCGAGTTCGACCAGCGTAGCGAACGGCAGCTGGTACGGCACCTCCTTGAAGCGCAAGTGGATGATGTTCAGCAGCACCATCAGCGCTGCCGCATCGTCGTCCGGAAACGCCACCTCGCGTACGTCGCCGTCGGCGCCAGCTCCTTGGGATTCTTTGAAGTGCCCGTTCAGCATCCGGTCCCAGGCGTTGCAGGCTAGTCCCATCACGCGGGACGAAACAATGAACGTCTTCGCGGTTTCTTCTGAGTCTGGGGTCGGGGCTGGAACGAGCAGTCGCACGTCCCCGTTGGGGTCAAAGTGTATTGTATCCGGTACTTCCAGGTCTGATACCACCATCTTTGCTGGAGCTAAGCTCTTTTCGGGTTGATGGCTGGGATGAGGCTGTTAATGGGCGTTTTATCATTCGCTCGTACCGCCGCAGCTTTTTTTGACACACCGGTGCGTCACGTGTGGTTCGCTTAGATAACCGTTTTGGCGTTTGCAGATACTTAATTGCGAGATGGCTATACTTGTACGGAGTAGAAGAAGAGACTCAGCTATGATGTATATAGTCTATATATACTCTAAGATCGTTACACCTATACCCAGGACTTGGGCTGTGAGCTAGGCATGGAGTACTCTGTAGGGACTGTTCGTATCGTCCTCCGTCATTGCGAACCGAGACCCACCGTCTAGCGAGACGGACATTCTGTGTCCTCTAAGATCTTTTCATCTTCACTCAGGCCTTGAGCTGTGAGCTAGGCATGGATTACTCTGTAGAGACCGCTTGTGTTGTCCTCTGTCTCGCTAGACGGTGGATCTCGGTTCGCGGTGGCGGATGTTAGAGTCTTCTCGGACTAACTAGAGCCTAGAGGATTCTCTATGCATCATTAACTGATCTATCCAAGTTACTAATTTAAATTACGAAGCTCTAAGCTTAATATTTCTTGGCCGTATACGTTCGCCGTGCTACTATCCGAAGCTGCGAATTTGCAGAAACTAGATTTCTTCGAATTTTCTTTTTAAAGCTTTGTACACTAGAAGCCTGCAGCGTAGGTATATATAGTAACCTACCTTCCCGATGCTCGGGACATTGTCCGCAGTTGTTGGTTACCTGCGACACTACATAAGGCTCATCGCACTGCTAGGCAGAAAGAAAGTCTGTATCACATATTCACGTTAGTGCCTAAGAGTGTGATACAAACGAGGCGCAAAGAAAGCCTTGTCCAAACAGTTGCGGGCTCCTAAATTCTCTACAGTGGCGGCTTGTCAGAAACTAAGTAGAAATTCTTCAATACATTTCTCAATATGATATTTCTCTTATCCTATTGATATACGAACCGATAGTTATCGTGAAGTGCACTTCATAGAAACCTCCGCCGATGGCCAACTCAGCCTCGTGCGGGTTGGGCCGAAAATATATTTGTGGTTGCATTTGCGCGACCTTTGTGAAGCATTGTAAAGGGTCGCACTGCATTGAGTTGTACGTTCAGCCTTGTCCAAAATACTAACACAAACCTGGAAATAAATGTCGATGTTGTACAGAACCCCTGCATTCCAGGCTGTGTCACTCCCGTATTTCTATATGTACCAACGCTCCCCTAAGGCTTCAGCTGAACAACTTTTAAACGCAGACCCCATCGAAGTTTTGAAACATGAACGAACAACGTAATAATCTCTCTCAATAGCATTCGAGTGATCTATTGAGCACTGACTCTTTCATAGTTCGTGAGCATGACTACATGCTCGCTGACATGGGAGGCGCTTCCTCTCAGAAGAAACTCGTACCATCACCTAAACCACCTGGAGAATAGATTCCTTCCTGGCTGCAGAAGCGTCGCGCACTTCCGGTTGCGGCATGCTGCTTTATTTTTGCAGCCTCATTGGAAGCATTGGATCGCTGCGTTAAATCAGTCGACGGTCTAGATGCAAGCGCTGCAAACTCCAAGGTCATCAACGCCGTCAAATACATTCCAACAATAGCAATGGTCACGCTGGGGTATGCTTGGAAATGTATAACCAGCGATGCCAAGAAGATCACGCCTTGGGCAGCCATGTCTGGCCGATGGTCAAGCAGCGCGAACTCGATTACAGTTGATTACTTTAGCCCGATTGAAATACTTTCCATCCTTTCAGCTGCGCGCAGGAAACATTGGTCCGTGGTTCTTGGGATGGCCGTCGGTTTTCTGTGCGGAGCTCTTGTCGCACTGTCTAACTCCTTGACATATGTCGACCTACTTGCTAGCTTATCAGAGCCAGCCAGCTTTCGAAAAACAACTTCCTTTAACTTCAACGGAACTTTGGAATATCTAAAAAACCACACGCTTGTGCTTCCATTCAATCACCTTGGCCAACAACCCTATGCTGCCGTAGCCGCAGAAACCCTACCAAATGGCCAAGCAGCACCTTGGACGAAAGACGGCCATGTCTTCGAATCTTTCACCAATAAATCACATGTTACTGTGAAGCTGGGCGCGAGGAATTGGACGCCGCTTGTCCCCCTAGATTACTGCTACCTATAGAGGTATATATGCTGCTATCTAAAAGAA